TTTCAGATGCAGTTAACTTCTGGAAAAACAGATGAGGTACTTAATAATGAGTCAGTGTCTTGTTTGTCAATAGAGTTGCCAAATTTGTTTATAAGTTCTTCTTTAAGAAATTAAGTAGATGAGTTACTATTATGGTATATTGCTCAGGAAAGATGAGTTTGTTGCTCAAATCTCATTTACATAGGAAACAATTGTCATTTATCCCAATGTTTTATTACTTAAATACAAGATAAAGGGATTTAGAATCAGTTCTAATAAGCAAGGGGACTTAGAATAATTGTTAGATATACAGGAAACTTTGGGGATCATTCCAGTGATCTCCAGACATCGCTGTGTACCACTACCCTATGAGGATTATCCCAGAGACTGTGATCAGTAGAGTAAGGGACCTGAACATCTGTATTTTAACAATCTCCTCAGATAATTAGGATGCACTGTCAGTGTGGGGAACTAATAATTGGCACCAACTTCTCTCATTTTGCAAATCAGGAAACTGAGGTTAATTGGGGAAGTTAAACAGATCCACCAGTATCACACTGATAGTCAGGGCTGGACTTCAACTTTCCTAGTCTGAATTTAACTAGCTCACAAGTGGAAGAGAAAATCTGATTGCAGGGCTGGGCCAAGGGAATGCTGGCTAGTTTGCTAGAGTTGAGGCAGACTGGGGCTGGCAGATCCCAGGGGAAAGCTCAGAGAAGCTAAACTGAGTCTACATTGGGAAACATTTGCCTAAATTCAAATTGATGAATAATGAGTTTAATTAATCCCACAGATTTTTAAGCATACGCAGTAGTCAACAGCTAGTCAAAGTAACACACACACACACACACACACACACACACACACACACACACATACACACACACACAGAGTCTATATACAGCCTTAAAAAAAATCAACTCTCCTAGCCACATAAGTATCTACTTACTAGAGATTTCAGTTATTGCCAGGCCATTTGTCCAACTCTTATTGGGCATAGAGAGAAATATTCCTGGCTCAATTGAAAGGATGCTGTTAATCTTCAACCAAACAAGGTGAGAAAGAATCAACATGCTAGAGGAGACTAAATTCTCTATTTTTGTTTTGTCCTCCTGAAAGAAAAAGCATCCCCCAATTATGTATTAGGGACCTCCATTTTCAAATCACTTCCCACTAGAATTAAAAGATTCCTGCCAAATTCCAAACATTATATGTTTGCTTTTCTTTTTTAGGAAGATGTCTCTGGAAATTGTAAAGTGACCTACCAGGCTCATCAAGATAAAGTGATAAAAATTAAGGCCTTGGATTCATGCAAAATTGAGAGGTCTGCATTTACAACCCAAAATCAGGTAGGATCAAATAATTACATATTGTACAGATTAATTTTAAATAATAGAAAAATAAGGTATAAATATAATTTAGAAACATTTATATTTTTAAGTCATAGTTTCATATATGTCAAATAAGTAGATTTAGTTAAATATGTTGTAGATA